CTTCAATGAGATGGTAATGGGGAAGTCTATTAGCTAATGAGTATAGAATTTCCATCTGGGATGTTGAAAATGCTCTGGAAATGGATAGTGGTGATTGTTGCACAACATTGTGGATATACTTAGTGCCACTGAATTGTACACTTAAAAATAGTTAACAAGAGTAAATTTGGGGTTATGCATACTTTATCATAATAAAAATTTTTGAATATGCACAGAGCAATTAGTACCTACTTGGTCCACTGCAGTTTGGGCTCAGGAAATATAACTGTTTTCGTTATGTCTTGTCTACTTTCTCCTTTTTTCAGAGGAATTTCCCTTACTCTATAAGACTGAGAACTTGGATTTTATAAGTTTGACCTGGAACACTTCTTGATACCTGAGTCCTTCTCCTTCGCACCTGGCTGTCCTGTGGACCCTGCCTGTTACCACACAGACCCCCAAATTACAGTCCACTCCATAGGATGAGGTCCCCTTCAATAGAACCAGAGAGAAGACTTCCTTTCCTTACCAACCTGCCCTGTGGGTTTGTCTAAGCCTACCTCACTAGCTGTAGGGGTGGGATTACCTCTGATTGAAATTATTGTAGGAAGAGGAAAAGCTAAGAATCCAAGTAACTTAAGCACTCCTGGAGTCACCAGTAAAAAGAAACCCAAGCTGAAGTTCTTCACAAGGGCAGGACTCTCTCCTGCCTATCCCCACTGATCACCTGGCCCTCCCAAATTTTGGCTCTCAAACCATCTCCCCTAAGGTTTCCTCTTCAAGTCTCTGAATCTCCACCCACTGAGGCTGACCTTTGCATTACAGGGTCTCCAGTGCAAGTGCTGTCTCAGGAGTGGTGCCCCAGGGGTGAATGGCATCTGTCGCCACCCAGGTTTCATTGAGCAGCTGGATCCCTTGCACCCAGTGGTCTTGGGTCCTCTAAGTCCAATTTGCACTACCATAAGCTCCAGCAAGAGCCATGGGAAGAGTGGGTTCCTTTCATGAGCCAACTTGCTAGATGAAGCACATGACTCTTTTTCAATCAGATATCATGTAGCAGGTAAAATATAAATACATATAGAAAGAAAAGATTCCCTCAAATAACATAGTATTTCATTCCTACTCCAAAATCTTGAACCCTGAGCATCCTTGTAGTTTACTTCCTGCTTCCCTGGGGGGTCTACCCCGGGGTGGGGGGTCTACCACCCTATGGTGGCAGTGGTCGCCGTCATTTTCCAGCAAAGGCTCCGGCCTCAATCATATTTTTAAATTATTTCTAAAGACTCTTCAGGATGGGATACCGTTGCCACTTCCCCCCTCACACTATCATTACTGTTATCCCAAAGGACAAGGAAAGGAAGTCTTATTCAATAAGTGGTATTATGACAGTTGATGATTATTTGAAGGAAAAGAAGAGCTAGATTCTTGCCTTATACCTAATACTCTACCAATAAAATCAATTGCAAATGGATTAAAGATATTGATGTTAAAATAGAGAAACCATATGAACTAAAAAAAAAAAAGGAACTTGTGAATGTTGCTCAGTGGTAGAACATTTGTCTAAGATGTGAAAGGCCCTACATTTGATCTGCAGCACTGCAAAATGATAATGATAATATTAGAATAGCAGCCTCTATCTAATTCTCATGAAAATGACAAACACAATGAAAAGACAAAAACTGTTAATACCAAAAGATAAGTGCTGACAGAAAATGCTAAAATACAGTAGAAATTGAGCCCAATTTTACGGCAGGTGCAGCTGGACCAGCATGGAAAGGTCCCATGTTCATGGTGGAGAGATCCAACGATAAAAAGAAATGAAACAGCTTTGGCCATCTCCCACTACCTATTCCTTATCCAGGGACCCAGGAACCCAGAAAAAAATGGGTAAATATAGACCCAGGGAACCAGAAAACTAGTGCAGTGGAGAACTTTAGAAATATACCAATCTTCCAACCAGGCACAGTGGTGCATGCCTGTAATCCCAGAGGCTCTGGAGGCTGAGACAGGAGGATTGCAAGTTCAAAGCCAGCCTCAGCAGCGGCGAGGCACTAAGCAACTCAGTGAGACTCTGTCTCTAAATAAAATACAAAATAGGGCTGGGGATGTGGCTCAGGGGTCAAGTGGCCCCGAGTTCGATTCCCAGTACCCTCCCCACACCAAAAAAGAAATATACTAATCTTCCAACATTCTCCCCTCAGATTAATTGAATCAGAATATTCCGAGGAAGCAGTTGAGCAGTGGAGTTTTTACCATGTCGCCAGGCAAATAACCAACCATGCGCACAAAGAGCTCAGATGCTCTTCCATAGGGCAGATAGGGAGACCAGGAGATCGTCCTGGGCCACTCTGACCACCCTTATAGTCTGGGAAGCCCCTCCTCACTGTTTCTCCTATCTTTGTGTCTACACTTTTTTTAGTTTCCAACATTTCCTTCTTACTTCTTAAATACTGGTCTTCTCCAGCATGTGGTCTCTTAAAATATCCTCAGTTAAAAACCTCATCCAATTCCAAGCCTTCAGTTGGCACATCAAACAGAAGACTTCCATCCCTAGGAGGTAGAGTGGGTATTTTCTCCTCCAGAGCCCTCTTCCAAAAGCTCACACCTCCCCCATTGAGGGAGGGCTGTTCAACTCAAGCTGGGATACTAGGAAGGGGCCTTGATGAGGTAAATATGGCAACTTTATTTAAAACATAATAACACAGAGGGTATGTTAAAAGTCATCTTGGAGAAGACCCATCCATCCTGAACCATTCACCCCTCCTCAAATAGTTAGAATATCATCATGAACCAGGGCCCAAGAGAAAGAAGTTAGATCTGGGAAAAGAGAGGAGAAAGATGAAATCAGGAGAGCATAAAGGATGACTTCACTGCCCAGTGAACATGAACTTGAAACTAGAGGGGACACCAAAAAGAAAAAAGAAAGAACCCTTGGGGCCATATCTTGATTTTATGTGTTCCTGACTCATGGTAGAAGTTTTGCAACATTTTCACAAATAATGACATCTGCATTTCCAGCTCAGGTCTTTCTATCAAGTGTCCAACACCCTCCAGATGACCATAGGCACCTCAAATATACCATCTAAAACAAACCCCCTTCTTCTTGCTTCCCCTAACCTGCTCCTCCCCTGAGTCTATCTCCGTGAAGGGACTGTCATCCCTCTACCTAACATGAGTCAAATTGTGTCCCCCTGGTTCACATGTTGAATTCCTAAGCCTGGAATCCCACAGCATGACCTTATTTGGAAATAAGTTCATTGTAAATTTCATTAGTTCTAAGTTAAGATGAGGTCATTAAGTTGGGCCCTAATCCAATGACTGGTGACCTTATAAAAAAGAGAAATTGGGACACTAAGACATGCAGGGAGAACATCATGTGAAGACAAAGATCAGGTGATTCTTTTATAAGTCAACAACCCCAAGGACTGGCAGTCCACCACCTGAAGTAAGAGGCACAGAACCGAGTCTCCCTCACAGCCCCCAGAAGGAACTGAACCTGCTGACGCCTTGATCTTAGACTTGTAGCCTCCGGAACTGTGGGACAAAAAGAAAAATCTATTGCTAAAGCCACCCAGGTTGTGGGCCTTTGTTATGACAGCCCCAGGAAACAAATATGTCACCCAATGAAGATTTGCCCTCCATCTCCCCGGTCCCTGCTGGATCCTGTCTGTCTCATCTCTGAACATGAAAGTGTTCCCTTTGCCTTGTCTCTGCAAGGATACTGGGTAACTGGCAATCTGTGAGCATCATATTAGAAGAAGACAGAAAAGGACTTAGTTGACCAAGTGGAACAGGATAGATCACAGCTGCGGTAACACAGAGGGGCCATCTGGCATTCGAAGGGGATGTAGAGATGGTGGAGCTGGCAAGCAGAGCGTGAGGTGGCACCTGGCTGTGGGTGAGAGAAACACCAACGTACCACTTGGTTGGCAAATACCAAGACCACAGAGGCTTCATTGAATGTCAAAGGGGTGGGGCTGGCTCAAGGCCAGGGCTCCCCTGGGCTCTGTCCCATGGCAGACTTTGGGGCTGGGCTTTTGCCCAGGGTGTGTGTGTCAGGATCTGACAGGAGATCTTAACGTTGGTCTTTGCTGTGAATTCCCCTAATGCACGGCCACAGTGCAGTGTCTCCAGCACCAGCTCTATGGGGCTGCTGCCAAGTTGCTTTTTAATTTTTTTTTTTTTTTTGGTACCGGGGATTGAACTCAGGGTCACCCGACCACTGAGCCACATCCTCAGCCCTATTTTGTATTTTATTTAGAGACAGGGTCTCCCTGAGTTGCTTAGCACCTCGCTGTTGCTGAGGCTGGCTTTGAATTCCTGATCCTCCTGCCTCAGCCTCCAGAGAGGCTGAGATTACAGGAGTGCACCAGTGCGCCCGGTGCGGTGTTGCTTTTGACAGCTACAAATGGAGCCAGCAGGTTTTGATGAGCCAACAGTGTCCAGCCTGAGGTGTGTGAGCTGGGCAGGCACCTGCGTTCCTCAGCTCGGGCTCCAGCGCTGCAGGAAATGGGGGAGCTCCCTATAGCTCTTGGAATTGGATTCTAAACTTCAGGATCAAGCAGTGGAGGACTTGGAGTAAGAGACCTCCTGGGCCTCACAGAGGACCCCAGCAGCTGAGCTTGCCTTTCCCTTCCGCCCCCCACCCCTCGTCCCTGTTCCCGCCTGCACCATCTTCTTGCTCTTCTCTCGTCCCATCAATCCCTCCTTGTCACCATCACCTCCTTCCTCCTCCTTTCTTTTCCCCTTCTGCTGCCCTTTCCTTTCCCCTCTCCAAATCTTCCTTCTCCCTAGGACTTCTCTTTCTCCTCTTGCTTCCCACCTCCAACCTCCCTCCTTCTCCCCTCCCTTCAGTTTCCCCCCACCTTTCCCTGCCCTTCATTTCTCTCCTCCCCTTTCTCCTTCCACCTTTTCTCCTCACTTCCTGCTCTGCTCTCCACCCTCCCTTTGCACCCACCGCCCCCCTCTGCCTATCCCCCTCCCTCTCTCCCCCTCCCCTTCCCCCTGCCTCACCCCTCAGTGTTTGTTTTTCTCCCGGATCCGGATGAAGGGATTGGCCTGCCCGTGGCCTGCCCTGCCCGGCTTTGGGCACCCGGGGTCCTGCTTCATGGCTGAAGGCTCCTCCTGCACTCAGGCCCCGGGGCAAGGACCCCCCATCAGCATCCAGCTCCTGCGAGCCCAGTATGAAGGCCTGAAGAGGCAGCAGAGGACCCAGATCCACCTCCTGGTGCTCCCCAAAGGTAAAGCTGGGCAAATGCTGGGGGAGGAGGACTTATCTGTGGGCAAAATGGAGGGCAGGGCCCTGCTCTGCCAGGCTCTTGCTGGAGAACAGCAGAGTTGCTGCTGGTCCAGTCAGACCCAGATCAGGGGAGACCTGGGCAGGACAGCTCCACACCATCTTCCCCCAGCCCAAGTAAGCCAAGGGCCTCAGCCAGGCATCTGACCAGTAGAGCAGTTCCTGGCCTGTGCACCTGGGTACTGAGCTTGCTAGACTGGTCAGCCTGGTGAACCAGGTTTGCCCCCTTGCTCAGCCAGCTGGGGTGACAGACACTCTGCTTCCTGCCTGGATTTAACAGAGGCACCAACTGCAGACCCAAGAAACTGGCTCTGGAGAAAGAAAACATGGTATTCCCACAATCCTGGGCCAGAGGAAGTACAGGACTCGGGGTCCATGAAGCACCCCAGGCTCATCTAGCCTCAAACAGCAGCCAGGGCAGTATGATCAGGCACAAAGCCCCCTCCTCATGGGGAGACCCCCAGCCCCTTTAGGAACTCAGATTTCATTCCAGGATGAAGTTAAGGACACAGAGGCTCAGAAAGTAAATGGTTGACAAATCCCAGCCCTTCATCCTCCAACAGAGTGGAACAGGCCAAGGGAGGAGGGAAGAGCCTCTGAAAGGTCAAAGTCACACCCTCAGAGTTTCTGCAGGTATTAGTTCAGTTCAGTGGGGAGAAAGAAAGGAGAACAAAACAAAGCTGGAGTGGTCTGCCTTTTGTCAAGTCAGCCTAAGATGGAATCAGGGCCCAGAGGGACCTCATTGTCCAGGGCAGGAAGTGCCCTTCAAAAGAAGGCTCTGCAAAAGGCCACCAAAGGAAAGCTTTGGGAGACAAATAGGGCACCTCTGAATGGAAGGAGCCTAGATCTCATTACTCGGGCTGTTGCCAACCAGTGGGATCCATCTGGATGGAACTGGCACAGCCAAAGGCCCCACCTCAGCAGGGCATAAGCTGCAAAATTCTAATGCCTTATCGCACTCTCAGGAGTATACCTTCAGGCATTCAGCAGACATTTACAAAATTACACCCACGTGCAATGAAAACCGTGTTTAACACACCTGCAATTCAGACTCACAAATCCAATTTCTTAAGGGCATGATTCAAAAATATTAAAAACACCTCATACTTGTCATTTCCCATAGAATCCACCATCCCCAGCCCACCCTCCCTGCTGGTCCTTTCTCCTGCACTTGGTAACAACACTTCCTTTTCCAACACGACCATGTGATACTTCATGGCAGGTTAATGCAAAGAGCACTCAGGTCCCCCAGGCAGGTCAGGGTCTCTCAGGACACTTGTAGCAGTTTGTGGTGCTACAATCTTTATATAATTGTGACAGGTAGCGTGCTATATAATGAAGTGGAGGTCATGCATGAGGTCTTAGAGCAGAGCCCAAGTTTGCCATTCCCACTCCCCTGCAGATCCAAACAAAACAAAACAGATTTAAAGAACAAAAATGGTATGAAATCGTTCTATGCTCTTCAATTGCCTTAATTCTTTTTTGCTTGGACAGAGCAGAAGCAGCACTATTTCCAAAGTATGGGGGAAATTGCAACAAAGGTTCTGCTCTGGGGTCAAGTCCAGGGGTTTGGCTATGCTACATTCTCTCCTTTGTCCACTTTGGACTGCAGGCTGGGACGGACAGTTCAGCAGGTCCTCCTCTGAAGACCTGCCTGTCTACCGTGGGCCCTTTCCTGCTGGAGACCAGTTCCTAGCTTCTCCCATTATATCCCTGTCCTTCCTTGTTCTCCCATAAGCACATAGGCTTCAGAATATCTGTAAAGGTTTTCGTGCTTGTCACTTTAAGAATATAGTGCAGCTGCTGTGGCACATGCCTGTAATCCCAGAGGCTCAGGGGGGCTGAGGCAGGAGGTTGTGAGTTCAAAGCCAGCCTCAGCAGTGGTGAGGCACTAAGCAACTCAGTGAGACCCTGTCTCTAAATAGAATTCTGTAGGCAGGACTGTGGCTTCTATAGAGATGGACGCCTTTGATCTTCTGTTCCTTCCATTTCTTTGGGACTCCTAGAATCGGGGCTCAAGGGTTTCCTTCTGATTTTCTTCCTCCAACACAATCTCCTCCCCACTCTTGCTGTGTACTTTGTCATCTTTGGGGCCTCTTTAAGGTAAGAGGGGCCAGGACACTCAAGAAAACTTAACTGACATCTCAGAGGACCCCCAGACCAGTCACTGACTAGCTTTCTATAAGAAAATGCCTTTCTGCCATCCCTTCAATCCCCGTGGCCAGAGAGAGTTCACAAGGAATTACCATTTTCAACAAAATGGTGTGTGTGTGTTGGGGGGGGGGAGTAATAGTGGCCAGGTGGGGTGGCACATGCCTGTAATCCCAGCAGCTCAGGAGGATAAGGCAGGAGGATCAGGAGTTCAAAGCCAGCCTCAGCAATTTATCAAGGCTCTAAGCAACTCACTGAGACCCTGTCTGTAAATAAAATACAAAAACAGGCTGGGGATGTGGCTCAGTGTTTAAGTGCCCCTGGGTTCAATCCCTAGTAACTGCCTCCACCCAAAAAAAGTAATAGTAATATTCCTGAGAAAGAAGGGAGACATCAGACTGCATCCTCACCTCTGAAACCAGTTTGGAAAAGCAAAGCTGCTCAGATGTCTTCCCAAAACAGTGTCTGTAGTCTAGGAGAAGGACAATGGCCAGTTCTCTACAAGGAGGTACTTCAGAACATGGCTCCTCCTTCCTCTGTAAACTCATTATCAGAATCTCAGGAAAGATACAAACCCCATAAATTTCTATCAGACATGGTGGTACACACCTGTAATACCAGCTACTTGGGATGCTAAGGCAGGAGGATCACAAGTTCCAGGCCAGCCTGGGCAACTTAGTGAGACTCTGACTCAAAATAAAAAGGACTGGGTTGTACCTCAGTGGTAGAGTACTTGTCTATCAAGTACAAGGCCCTGGATTTGATCCCTAGCACTGTAAAAAATAAAAAAATAAATAGAAACAAACTTTTCCCATGGAGAGTGTATATGTATCTACATGCATGTGAGTGTGTGAGTCAGTGTGCTGCTACTATGACAAAAATGCCTGAGAAAATCAACTTAAAAGGAGGAAAGACTTATTTTAGCTCACAGTTTCATAGGTTTCAATCCATAGTCATTGCTTTGGACTTGTGGCAATATAGTACATCATGATGGAAGTGTGTGGTGGAAAAGGTTACTCACTTAATGGTAGCCGGTAAACCAAAAGAGAGAAAGAAGCTGTTGCCCCAGTAGTCCCTTCAAGGGCAGCTCAATGGCCCAACTTCCTTCCTTTAAAATTGCTTCACCTTTTAAAGATTCCACCATCTTCCGATAGCACCCCAGGTTGGGAGCCAACCCTCTAACACAGGGACATTTGGAGGACACTCCAAAGCCAAATTACAGCAGCGTATGTGTTATCTCTTGCTCCTACTATTTTTCTGACCTCAAATGCTGATTCCCATCTCTTCCCAGAGCTCACACCCTTCACTTTTAACCCTCCACTATGCTTGAATTTTTCCATAATTAATTTGCTTATTGTCTTTCTGCTTTTCAAGGACAAATCCAGATGAAGGTGTGGGTTTTTGTCTCAATGTCCCCTGCTATATTCCTGGGACCTAGAAAAAATGAGGCCTGGCACATATTCAGTCCTCAATGACTATTTATTGAATAACAATGTAATTGTATGTGAGTATGTGTGCCTTGGGTGGGGGGTACATGTGTGCCTGAGCAAGTGGGACCATGTGTGTCTCTGTGTATCTGCACACATGCACTGGACATTCTGGGTATGGCCTTTCTTTATCCTGAAAGCTCTGAGCCCCCTAAATGAGAGAGCTGCCTGTGTATCGTCCTTTGATGACGCTGCTGACACCTTCTTTTCTCAGGAGGACACACGCATAATTCTGCTGAATCCATGATCAGCCCTGTTTGGATTAACAAGGAGGCAAGGAGCTCCCTATCCCTGGAAGAGGCAGATTGTAAGGTGGAGGGGGTTCTGGAAGAAGTCGACCGAGGCGGTCTTCAGACTCCTGAGTCTCCATGGCACACGCATCTAGAGATGCATCGCTTAGTTCAAACCTTCCACCATGAAACCAGTCAAGTGAAGCCCAAGGGCCAGCCTGTAGGATCAGACCAAAGGCTCCGTCCAGAAGGAGACTCACACTTGTTTGAAAACCGTCACCCGACTCTGCCAGGAACCAAACTCCCAGAGACAGCCCAGGGTCAATGTCAGGTGGGCGGTTCCCTAACAAAGATCGTGGGACCCAGCTTAAAAACCAACATTCAGTTTCTTCCTTCCATAAAGGACTCCCACAGGTCTGGCAGACCTGCTTACTATCCATTTCCCCGGAGGAAAACACCCAGGATTTCTGAAGCTGCCCGGAACCTGGGCTTATATGGCCCAACCTGAAGTTTTCTGCTGAGCCACACAGATCTGTCTCATCAAAAAGCCAGCAAGGCAGAGTCTCTAGCTCCCAGCAACAGCTGGACTATCCCAAATGTAAGAACTGTGGGAAATGAATACTGGGAACATGAATGATCTTGACCTTCAAAACACCAAGAGGTCAGATTGCTCACCATTTAGGATCAGATAGTACTGTCGGATCAAGCATCTGCTTCTGTAAGAAGAGTTCACTATGGAGCCCTGGATGTCCATTCTTTGGAGGATCCAGTAGGACACCCTGAAAGAGGAGAATTCTGAAACAGAGTGGGGACTTTAGCCAATGGAGTACCTGAGTATTGCCCAGGGCTCAAGGGGCATAGACAATCTTGTTTTCAATATTTTCTGAGTCCTCCCTCAATATATTGTGAATAGTACGAGTCTGAGCGTTCAGAATCTTTTCCTGGCTGCTATATCTTGGGGGCTGTGTCACTTAGAAGTCATTACACCCATTTATAGCAACCACACAATTTCATTTGTAGCCTCCCATAGGACATGGTCACCCTGAGTAAACAGGGTCAGATCAGGGCCAAACTGACTATTTTGTATGTTTAAGGGGTCCACAGGAAAGGTGGCCATCTGTCACCTGTCACTGAGACATGCCAGCCTCGTCACAGACTAAGCTCCTTCCATCCTTTCCTCTCTTCCTTTTTTCCTTTCATCTTTCTCTCTTCTCTCCTTACAAATTAACGGCATATTAAAAACTTCCAATCATTGAAAATATATAGTGATAGAAGACCAAGAAAAAAGCAAAAAAAAAAAATACTCTTTCTTGGAAAATTTTTCCACAGTCTGCCCCATTTTTAGCCTAACTTGGATCCCTCGTGTCCTTCCTTAGATCCAATTCGTGTTTTTAAACCTAAGAGTCAAGTAGGTGCTGTGGGTGATGTGAATGGTCACTGTTTAACTTTAGCAATGACATTTAAACACTCCTAAGGTGCCTTTCTCTTTTATCTCAGATTCCCTCTCTATGCATCTGCTCGGACACCCCTGTCCAGAAATGTACTCCCATTTGAGGATTCATTGTGATTCCTTTCATGGACAATTAGTAAGATACAGTTGTTTCTTATACTCTAATGAAAATGAAGGAAACATTCTTTCGTTTTAAAATTTTTTTGTAGTTGTAGATGGACAGAATGCCCCATTTTATTTCTTCATTTCTATGTGGTGCTGAGGATAGAACTCAGTGCCTCACACATGCCAGGCAAGTGCTCTACCACTAAGCTACAGCCCCAGCCCAGGAAGCATTCTTTTAAGAACCAAAACCAAAAAACTTTGTTCTTTGCTTTTGTTTTTTAAAGGGTTTCACAGGCAACCTCTCTGAGTTTTTTTTTTTTTTTTTTTTTTTTCATTTCTTTCTCTCCTCATTGTTCCAAAGGCTCCTGCAGATCTGGCAGTACGTGCAGGACACCTCCGTCCTGCATACAGGATGATGGAGACTTCATGGATGTGGAGTCAGCACACCTGGGTTTTAATCCAGCTGCTCTTGATGTAGGATTTGGACCACTTAAATCTCTCAGTTTCAGTTTCTGTAAAAATAAGAGAGAAAATGCCCACTTTTGAAATATTGAAAATAATGTGTTCAGCTGGGCATGATGGCACACGCCTGTAATCCCAGTGGCTCGGGAAGCTGAGGCAGGAGAATCGTGAGTTCAAAGCCAGCCTCAGCTTAAGCAAGGTGCTAAGCAACTCAGTGAGACCCTGTCTCTAAACAAATTCAAAATAGGGCTGGAGATGTGGCTCAGTGGTCAAGTGCCTCCGAGTTCAATCCCCGGTACCCCCCAAAAAAGAAAGAAAGAAAATAATGTGTGCAAAAGTTCCTGGCATTCTCAATAAGAGGCAGTGATTATTATTTTAAGTTCATTACATCTCCCTCTTCACTTCTCTCTCAGCCATCAACCTCCTGCAGACTGCTTCTGTTCTGAAGATCTTTAGCCATGAGCTTCTGCCCAAATTCAATGACTTCTTTAAAATTTTTCTTCTCTTTTACTTCTTCAGCATTCGTGACAATTAGCATTGATTTCCTGTGTCTCCTCCCCCATTCTTCCTATAGTTTTGGGATGTCCTAGCTCATAGAAGTCTATGAGCTCCTTTAGGTCAAGAACAATGCCTCATTTTTTCTTATTGCTCCAGCACATGGAGAGGGTGTTTGGTAAATGTTCAAATGAATGCGTTAGAAAATCAAAACTGCTGAGAGCCATAGCCAAGTAGGAATGACACATGGCATTTTGGGTTGAAAGGTGACCCTGCTCAGAGATTAGGGTGGCTCCAGGTTTAGAGTGGATCCTGCTGGGATTAGGGCGTATCCTGCCACCTCAGGCGCCCGCTCCTTTGGAGTTCCTTTGAGTTCTCGCGGGGTTCTGAGAGAAGTGGTGCGCGGAGCTGAGTGGAGGCAGTGGGTTCACGAAAAGTGTGGGAGAGTGTCGGTGAGAGTTCGGGAATAAAGAGTTGCTGTTGGAATCTACAAGGCTATGTGGTGGCTCGGTTATTTTGTGTCCAGCCAGACTGCGGCACAAAACCATGTCCATTCTTACCCTCCTGCTCAATGGCACCAATCTCTCTATTCCCCTTTATTTATAGATTCTTTCAGGATTTGATTATTTTTTCTTTAATGAATTCTCGGTTAGGAGTAAAAGTGGAACAACTAGTAGAAGTAAGATCATTCTAAGGAGAAAGAACAGGATGTGTAATGACCCTGAAGGACAAAAGATCCTGCTTTGTTTGAAGAGCTGAAAGAAGGCTAGTGTGATTCTAGTACAGTAAACAAGGGCAGGAACAGATGCTAAGGCAATGTATCAATCAAGACAGGCTATGTTTTGCTTCAGTAACAAGCAACCCCAAATCTCACAATATAAACATATTTTTCACTTATGAAAAGTCTACTATATGCAGTAGGCAAACTTCCAGGGCAGCTTTTCTCCATGTACAGTGTTATCAGCACATTTCCACATTGTATCTCTACTTTTCTGGCACCACCATATCAATGGTTTCCCTAATCAGCATAGCAGAAGGAGAAAGTGCATAAAAGTCATATACTGGCTCTCAAACCACTTTTGCTCACACTTCACTGTCCTAAACAGTCATGTCTGTAAGAGGAAGTATGGTCATCCCATGTGCCTAGAAGGAGAGAAGAAATAGAAACATGGCTGAGCAGCATTACAGGCTAACACAGGTAGATTGCTAAGGGCCAGGCTGATAACAGGCCAGGTTGCTAAGGGCCTCATAGGCATCCACAGTATTAGATTTCATTCTGAATACAATAAGCAGCCATTGAGAGGTTTAACTAAAATGATTTGATTAGTAGTTTAACCAGATCACTCAGGTTGTTGTAGTAACAATGAATTGAGGGTCAATTTAAGAGACAGTGTCAGGAAAGAAGTGGGCAGGGCCAGTTTAGTGGGAGGGATACTGTTGGTTTAGGTGAGGGAGGAAGTAGAAGAGATGGAGAAAAGGTAAAAACATTTGATATATATTTTGGGACTAGAATCAGTAGGATTTACTAGAGGACATGTACAAGTTCAGTTTAAAGGATATCGAGTTTGAGGTGTTCATGAGAAACAAAGGTCTAGAGTAGTCAGGTGGATATAGAAGACTAGAGTTTGGGGCTAGAGATCATGAGTTTAAGAGTCATTAGTATGTAGAGATACTTCAGAGAATGAGAAAGGAGGAGTCCCCTGCACAGACTGTACAGAGAGAATGGTCTGGAATGAGTCACGCAAACTCCCATTTTGCTTAGGAGAAAAATCCCTAACCCTTACTTAGAAGAAATGGGAGGAAAGGAGGAGACAATGAGGGAAATTGAGAAAGAGTGACCAGGGAGAAAGGAGAGCCAGGAGGTGTGAACCTTCAGAACTCAAGAGGCAAGAATTAGTGCCAGACACTTTCCTAACTGAAAACCCACCACGAATCCCCTTTTTCTACAGCCCCATCCTTCAGCCTGCAGCTGTGTTTTCTTGAGCAGGGGTTTGAGATGCCAGGGTCCCAGAGGTGATGCTGTTGGATGAACCTCTGCATCCAAGGGCAGGACAAATCGTCAGAAAGATCGGGTCAGACTTGAGGGACTGCCACCAAGGCTGGCCTGAGGGTGCCTTTGCCTTTCCCTTTCCTGGGGAACAGGCTCATCCCTAAGCAATGTGGGCAGAGGATTGGGTATTCCGGTGGCAGAGCTTGAAGGGAGAGGAGATTGGGGGAAGGGCTCATGTTTGTGTTCTTTCAATCCTTTCCCACAAGGCTGCTCCTGCCAAGAGCATTAGACCAGAATGATCTGCTTGTCAGTCACATACACACACACTTACACTTACCCCCTACCAACTCCTGAGCTGTCAAACCTGCTGGGGCAAGGGCTCAGGTTACTAGCTTGGCAGGCACATAACCCAGGCCTCTGATTTTCTTTCCTGTGCTGGTCAGAGCTCTCTCCACCCTCTGCACAGTGTTAGCCCAAGGCGGCTTTCCTAAGGTAGAGAACCAGCTCACCTGGTGCCCTAAATCCTGGACCAGGCAGGTGACTTGCTTAGAGGGCCCCAGCCTCCTAGTTCCCAGAGAAGGCTCCCCCAGGTGGCTGCCACACCTTCAACTTGCGTGGCACCAGGCAAACTCGGAGGCATGCATCCAGTCTCCTCCTTGCTGTTGTAGACACTGAACTTGAGTTACCTCCAAGAGCCCTAGAGGATAACATGCCCTGGGGCTGCGGGGAGATGGGCAGAGCAACCCACCCCGTGCAACCTCTCCTCCCCCGCTAGGGGCCAGGCTCCCCCATGCTGTCGCAGGCTGAGTTCCTAACTTTTGAGTCACTCCGTTATTAAAGCTGTTCGTTCCAGTTCTTAAGATTTGAAACTGCCTGAATTTAAAAGTCCACCTCATAGTCAAGTCAGATTCTATCTATATGCTCCCAAGTACCCCGCCCAGAACAGTCTCGATTTGTACCTTTAAGGGAGGGGCGTGGTCTTCCAGCTCACTAGCCCGCGCTTTTCCTCTCGCGATGGCGCCACTTGGGGGCACAGGTAGGGAGTGGGCACGTCCTTTATGTGACTGCCTGTGGTCACGGTCTTTTTCCTTGGCTGGTTACACGGGCCTCGCTCTTCCTCTGCAGGCTAAATGCGGACCCGTGGCGGCGACAACAGGCTCCTGCTATCGAGGGACTCAGCCCCCAGCAACTCCGTGGCCCTGGGAGTCCGTGGGGAGAAAGGTTAGGCCAGATCCAGCCGCCTCCCCACCTCGGCTGCACTGAAGCTCCGTTCTTGACCTTTGCCTGGATTCTTCCACCTACCTCTGCTGACCCAACCGGACCAGTGGTCACAGGCAGCAGGCAATTTCTGCACCTTCTCTTCCCAACCGTCCCACACCGTGGTTTTCCCCTCCAAAGTCTCCCCATTCTCTTGTGCCAAGTCTAGTGGCTGAGCAGTCATTCAGCGAGAGGATAATGAGTGGGCCTTCGGAGGCAGGAGAGAAGAAATGAGGACAGGTAGAAGGAAACAAACAGGGAATGAAAGACCGACCTTAACTTATTATTTTTAACTTTTTTTTTTTTTTTTAGTTTAAAATGGACCAATACCTTTATTTTATTTTATTTATTTTTACATGGTGCTAGCACATGTGAGGCCCTGGCTTTGATCCTTAGCAACACATAAACAAAATATATATGTATACATACGCACACACATATGAAGAAGAAGCAGTCCTAATAGCCTAGACTGAAGAGGAAAGGGAGGTGACAGGGAAGAAAAGTCATGCCCTGACAGCCTCCATAGGAAAGGTACTGCGCATCCTTCCCTTTGCTCTAGAAGTCCCTGGGCCTGTGACTGTGAAGCCCCAGGTGCATTTGCTTTATGTGTACCTGCTTGGGGTGGTGGCGAAGAGCAGGCAGAATCTATGTAGAGAGACTTTGTGCCTTTCCTGAACACCAAGTAGCTCCTGCATGCCAGATTCTGTCTGGGATGAATGGGACAGAAACATGGAAAGTCATGCACTTTGTTCTTGAGGGTGAGCAAGGACGTTTGAATACACGGAAAAGGCAGAACTCATGGGGTAGGTCTTAGTTCAGGTTGCCATAATTAAGTACCTTCAACTGGGGGGGCTCATCAACAACAAAATTTATTTTGTACCATTTGGGAACCTGGAAATCCAAGACTAATTCAGTGGTAAATTTGATGTCGGGTGGATGCCTGCTTCCTGGTTCATAGAGGGCTGACTGCGTGTAGTGTCCCCACGTGGTGGAGGGTGCAAGGGATCTCTTTGGATCTCTTATAAGAGCATTAATCTCATTCATGGGGGGGGGGGGCGCATCCTTAAGACCTAGTCACTGCCTCAATGACCCGCCTGAAACCACCAGATTGGAGATTAGGCCTCAGCTTATGAAGCTGGGTGTTATGTGTGCAAATATTCAGTTCATAATGGAAGATCACAACTTTGTCTTCTTCAGCCAAATTGGGAGTGGGCGATATAAGGCAGGAACTTATTTGAGCCATATTATCATGAAATGGACTGGGAAGGTGCTGAGTGCTGGCATTTTGTGTTTCCCAGATGGGTCCTCCTTGACATGGGATGATGCCTCTCTGCTCCCGTGGCTGCCTATAACCATCTGCAGCTCCTTGCATGTGGGGGTGAAACTCCAGTTCCTTTCTCATCCACATGGCCCTGTCCTGGGTGCTTGTCCCTTTCTACATCTGCCTTCCTCCTCTGAGAGCTGGACCATGACTATGTCTCACTCACTCCTCTGAAACCCAGGACTCATTTAAAATGAGTTCCTAGGATATTATGGTTTCCTCTGAACCCCTTGAGCAAATTCCTACCACACTCTTGCTCTTCTTGCTGTAGATTCAGAATTGACTCAAGTCTGCAATGACGAAGCTTGGAAAAAAGAATCTGATGCTACAAGACAACCTATATGCCTCAACCTGCTCAGACCTCACTTCCTTCTGTCTGCCCGGAGTGAGCTTTCTGCTGTTTACATCTTGCACACAGCTAGGGGCGATAACCTGAAATTTCTTTTGCAATGTTTATGGAGTCCAGAGGGTTGTAGTTATCATCTCTCATCATTCCTTTCATAACAGCCTGTTAATCTCTCCAGTTAACCAGACTGATGGCCAAGGACCAAGTTCACATAGCAAACAGATAATTTAGATGGCATTAAGTTTGTGAAGGTTGCCGGGCACAGTTGTGCACCCCTGTAATCCCAGCAGTGGGAGAGCCCGAGACAGGAGGATTTCGAATTCAAAGCCAGCCTCACCAAAAGTGAGGCATTAAGCAACTCAGTGAGATCCTGTTTCTAAATAAAATATAGAATAGGGCTGGGGATGTGGCTCAGTAGTTGAGTGTCCCCGAGTTCAATCCCTGGTACTCACCCTCACCCTGCCCCCCCCCCAAAAAAAAAGATTGTAAAGATTTGTGAAGAAGATGTGCTTGGACTGCACATTAATTATCAGAAGTACACAGGGCTCAGGTAGTGTCTACTCAGACAGCTGT